TGACTAATGTTGAGTCCATGGATTATACGCACTCTCACCCTTCCACCTTTGCTAGCCTCTCTAATACCGCGCACCTTTCACCGGTATCATACACCCACCATATACCTTCCTCAAAACAGCCACCATACCTACCTATTATGGCATTTCCATAGCCATTCCGAGATATATTGCCATGCAACTTTCCACCGTTCCGTTTATTATATGACACACTCCATCATTGTCATACTGCATATCCCGGTACACCGCCGGAGGCATTCATATAGAGTCATATTTTGTTCTAAGTATCGAGTTGTAACTGTTGAGTTGTAAGAAAAATAAAAGTGTGATGATCATCATTATTAGAGCATTGTCCCAGTGAGGAAAGGATGATGGAGACTATGATTCCCCCACAAGTCGGGATGAGACTCCGAACGAAAAATAAATAAAAGAGGCCAAAGAAGCCCAAATAAAAAAAGAGAAAGAAAAAAGGCCATAAAAAAGAGAAAAGGCCCAAATAAAAAATGAGAGAAAAAAAGAGAAGGGACAATGTTACTATCCTTTTACCACACTTGTGCTTCAAAGTAGCACCATGATCTTCATAGTAGAGTGTCTCTCATGTTATCACTTTCATATACTAGTGGAAATTTTTCATTATAGAACTTGGCTTGTATATTCCAATAATGGGCTTCCTCAAATTGCCCTAGGTCTTCATGAGCAAGCAAGTTGGATGCACACCCACTTAGTTTCTGTTTGAGCTTTCATATACTTATAGCTCTAGTGCATCCGTTGCATGGCAATCCCTACTCACTCACATTGATATCTATTGATGGGCATCTCATAGCCCGTTGATACACCTAGTTGATGTGAGACTATCTTCTCCTTTTTGTCTTCCCCACAACCACCATTCTATTCCACCTATAGTGCTATATCCATGGCTCACGCTCATGTATTGCGTGAAGATTGAAAAAGTTTTGAGAATGTCAAAAGTATGAAACAATTGCTTGGCTTGTCATCGGGTTGTGCATGATTTAAATATTTTGTGTGGTGAAGATAGAGCATAGCCAGACTATATGATTTTGCAGGGATAACTTTCTTTAGCCATGTTATTTTGAGAAGACATAATTGCTTTGTTAGTATGCTTGAAGTATTATCATTTTTATGTCAATATGAACTTTTGTCTTGAATATTTCGGATCTGAATATTCATACCACAATTAAGAAGAATTACATTAAAATTATGCCAAGTAGCACTCCGCATAAAAAATTCTGTTTTTATCATTTACCTACTCGAGGACGAGCAGGAATTAAGCTTGGGGATGCTTGATACGTCTCCAACGTCTCTATAATTTTTTATTGCTCCATGCTATATTATCTATTGTTTTGAACATTATTGGGCTTTATTATCCACTTTTATATTATTTTTGGGACTAACCTATTAACCGGAGGCCCAGCCCAGAATTGTTGTTTTTTGCCTGTTTTAGGGTTTCGAAGAAAAGGAATATCAAACGGAGTCCAAACGGAATGAAACCTTCAGGAACGTGATTTTCTCATCGAATACAACTCAGGAGACTTGGACCCTACATCAAGACACGTAACAGGAGCCCACGAGGTAGGGGGCGCGCCTACCCCCCCAAGCGCGCCCTCCACCCTCGTGGGCCCCCTGTTGCCTCACCGACGTACTTCTTCCTCCTATATATACCCACGTACCTCCAAACGATCAGATACGAAGCCAAAACCCTAATTCCACCGCCGCAACTTTTTGTATCCACGAGATCCCATCTTGGGGCATGTTCCGCAGCTCCGCCGGAGGGGGCATCGATCACGGAGGGCTTCTTCATCAACACCATAGCCCCTCCGATGAAGTGTGAGTAGTTTACCTCAGACCTACGGGTCCATAGTTAGTAGCTAGATGGCTTCTTCTCTATTTTTGGATCTCAATACAATGTTCTCCCCCTCTCTTGTGGAGATCTATTCGATGTAATCTTCTTTTTGCGGTGTGTTTGTTGAGACCGATGAATTGTAGGTTTATGATCAAGTCTATCTATGAATAATATTTGAATCTTCTCTGAATTCTTTTATGTATGATTGGTTATCTTTGCAAGTCTCTTCGAATTATCAATTTGGTTTGGCCTACTAGATTGATCTTTCTTGCAATGGGAGAAGTGCTTAGCTTTGGGTTCAATCTTGCGGTGTCCTTTCCTGGTGACAGTAAGGGCAGCAAGGCACATATTGTATTGTTGCCATCGAGGATAACAAGATGAGGTTTTCTTCATATTGCATGAGTCTATCCCTCTACATCATGTCATCTTACTTAAGGCGTTACTCTGTTTTTAACTTAATACTCTAGATGCATGCTGTATAGAGGTCGATGAGTGGAGTAATAGTAGTAGATGCAGGCAGGAGTCGGTCTACTTGTCTCGGACGTGATGCCTATATACATGATCATACCTAGATATTCTCATAACTATGCTCAATTCTGTCAATTGTTCAACAGTAATTTGTTCACCCACCGTAGAATACTTATGCTCTCGATAGAAGCCACTAGTGAAACCTATGGCCCCGGGGTCTATCTTTATCATATCAATATCCTACTACTTAGTTATTTACTTTGCCTTTATTTTACTTTGCATCTTTATCATAAAAATACCAAAAATATTATCTTATCATACCTATCAGATCTCACTCTCGTAAGTGGCCCTATAGGGATTGACAAACCCTATTTGCGTTGGTTACGAGGATTTATTTGTTTTGTGCAGGTGCGAGGGACTCGCGCGTAGCCTCCTACTGGATTGATACCTTGGTTCTAAAAGAGGTAGCAGGCTCCGGCGCAACGGAAAAGCGCGGCTGGCCCACACCGTCAGGCGAAAAGTCAAGATTTTCTTCCCCGACCCACCTTCCACCCCCTTCTCCCTCGGCCGCCACTAGCTATATCCCGGCGCCGCCCACCGCCCTTCACTGCTAGATAGCCATTCCCCGCCGGACAAATAGCAGAGGTTCGCCGCAGCAGCCCCTCCAACAACAGCTGGGTGTTTCTGGACGCCGCTTCCGGCCGTGGAGGGGCAGTTCGGCGGGTGCACGCCCAACGGGCGCAAGGTGTTCGGCGATTTGCCTGCCTCAGTGATGGACTCGGATGACGAGGAAGTGCTTGCCGCGCTGCTGGAGGAGGAAGCCGAGGCCAACGTCCAGGAAGAAGAGCATCTGATGGTGCTCGCCGCCCTCGCCCAGCTGCTGGCGAGCAATGAAAAGCTGTGCCGAGATGGCTCGGCGCCGGGGCGGGTGAAAGCAAAAAACCGGCTTTGTCTCAAAGGCTACTGCATGCTCTACTCTGACTACTTCGCCGATGCTCCACTTCACGACGACAAAACATTTCGGCGCCGTTATCGGATGAGCCAAAAGTTCTTCCTCAGGATTGTGCAAGATGGATTGCACCAGCAAACTTGGATTCACCTCGATCCAGAAGTGCACGACAACGATGAGGATGCTTGCATACGGAGCTCCCGGTGATTCACTGGACGACTATGGGCGCATGACCGAGTCCACCAACATGGAGTGTTTCTACAAGTTCTGTCGGGCAGTGGTGGCAGTGTTTGGACCGCAATACTTGAGAACACCCAATGCGGAAGACACTGCTCGGATCCTAGCACAGAATGCAGCAAGAGAATTTCCTGGGAATCTTGGAAGTATCGACTGCATGCATTAAAAATGGAAGAATTGCCATTTGCTTGGCAGGGGATGTACAGAGGCGGTTGCAGCGTGGTACTTGAGGCGGTGGCCACACAGGACCTCTGGATTTGGCACTCCTTCTTTGGTATGCCAGGAACTCACAATGACATCAACGTGTTGCAGTGCTCTCCTGTCTTTGCCAAGCTTGTTGAAGGTCATTCTCCTCCGATGAACTTCGAGATCAATGGGCGGCACTACAACAAGGGGTACTACCTAGCTGATGGCATCTATCCGAGATGGTCGACATTTGTGAAGACAATCTCAAACCCTGTGCCAGGAGGCAAGAACGCCTGGTTTGCGAAGGTTCAGGAGGCTTGCAGGAAGGATGTCGAGCGGGCATTTGGTGTGCTCCAATCTCGATTTGCTGTTATCCGGTACCCCGCTCAGACCTGGTCGAAAGATCAGATGTGGGAGATTATGACTTGCTGTGTCATCTTGCACAACATGATCATCGAGAGCGAGCAAGAAGACCCAGTGTTTGACACTGAACCATACTACAGGCAGGGTCCTCTAGCCGAAGTTGATCATCAGCTACCAGCAACCTGGACTTCCTATCTCAGTATGCGTCAGGAGATCCGAGACCCACAGGTGCAGCATCAACTGCAGCAAGATCTGATAGAGCACCTATGAAGGCTCAAGGGCGACGTCGGGCGCGACGTGTGATGAAATATGAGTTTTTATTTGTTGAACTATACAATTTGTATTGAACTATTTGTTGTTGTACTATTTTGTTGAAGTATTTGATTTTTCTGTGATGAAATATATGATAAAAAATTATGTTGATAATTGAACGCCGAGCAACGGCGAACCACGTCGAATGTGGGCCAATTGTCGCCCATATGAACCCTTTATTCGTCAAATGGGGCTGAAAAGTGGGCCAATATCAACGTCTGGAACGAGCTGGGGGCGACGACTGGGCGCAAACCCGCCCCAACGCCGATTGTATCGCCGGCTCGCCCCCAGGAGGCGATTTTTATGCGTCATGAAGGGCGAACGGCTGGAGATGCTCTTATTCCCGCGCGAGCCAGACTGGGCCTAATGCGCGCAACCAAACACGCCCTTTGTGTTTGTATCTCTCTACATTTTCTAGAAATCATATATACGCTACCGACAAGCTGCACTTTGTGCCCCTCCAAAAACATAACATCAATTTCGTAGTACGAGGGAGCTGGTGGGTCTGTGCATCCACGTCTCCTGCTCTGCTGGCCTTCTCGTGAACTTCGTCTCCCGCTCGCGCTACAGCACTAGCCACGCCACCCCAGTACGATTCGATTCGAGGTAGCAGATCACTAGGCACCAATGGCGCCGGCGCCGCTGCAGCACGTGACCGTCCTGGACCGGTGCGAGGTCCGGCCGTCGCCGCCGCCGGAGGCCGGGCAGCCGCGCGCGCTGCCGCTCACGTTCTTCGACCTCGTCTTCTGGGACTTCCCGCCCGTGCAGCGCGTCCTTTTCTACGGCAGCGCGGAGCGGGAACTCCTCGACGTCCCGGGCTTCCTCCGCCGCGAGCTGCCCCTCTTCAAGGCATCCCTGGCCGCCGCGCTGCACCACTTCTACCCGCTGGCCGGGAGGCTCCCGTGCGAGCTGCCCGCCGAGCCCGAGCTCGCGTGCTCGGACGGCGACTCTGTTCGCCTCACGGTGGCGGTCGGCGGCGACGACTTCGGGGACCTCGCGGGCGACCAGCCTCGCGACACCGCGAGGCTCCGCGCGCTGCTGCCCCCGCTGCCGAGCCGCGGCGGGGGGTCTCGGGGAGTGTTCGCCGTGCAGGTCACCGTGTTCCCTCGCGCAGGTATATGCGTCGGCACCACGCTGCACCACGCCGTCGCCGACGGCTCCAGCTACGTGCACTTCGTCAGGACGTGGGCGGCCATCCACCGCCGGCTCATCGGCGCCGACAAGAAGGCGGTGGACGTCGTGCCGCCGCTGTTCGACCGGGGCGTCGTGCGCGACGACTCCGGTCTCCGGGAAGCGTTCGTCCGCGAGCTCGCGGAGGCCGGCGACGAGCGGTTGGATGACTGGGACCTGAGCAGGCGGCCGGGAGGTGGCGGCGTCGTGCTCGCGACGTTCCGGTTCACGGAGCAGCTGCTAGGCCGGATGGGGAAGCGCGTCGAGTCGGAGACCTCGGCGCGGCGGTGCTCGCCGTACGCGCTGGCGTGCGGCGCAGCGTGGGCCGGGATCGTGCACGCGCGCGGTGGCAACGGCAGCAACTGCAATGCTCGGCATCAGTTCGGGTTCGTGACCGGGTGCAAGCCCCGCGCGAGCCCGCCGGTGCCGGGGAACTACTTCGGCAACTGCCTGGGCCTGTGCCGCGTGGAGGAGGAGGATCACGACGGCAGGGGCCTCACTCCGTCGGGGGCGTCGGCGGCCATCTGGCGGGCGATCGAGGCGCTCGCGGAGCAGGGGCGGGCGCTGCGGGACGCACGCGGGTGGGTGCAGCTCGTGCGGGAGAGCGCGGCTGCGCGCGCGGTGACCGTGGCCGGGTCGCCGAAGCTTGGGATTTACGCGGCAGCAGACATGGGCGCGCCGTGGGGCCGGCCGCGGAAGGTGGAGATCGTCTCGGTGGAACGGACGGGCGCGCTGGCCCTGGCAGAGAACCTCGACGGCCGCGGCGGCATCGAGGTCGGGGTGGCGCTGCCGCGCGGGGAGATGGAGGCGTTCCGCGCGTTCTACGCCGGCCTCCGGTGAAGCGTACGAGGACCGCGCGGGCACGTACGCGAAAGCGACACGGTGGGCGGGGCGGCGACAGCGAGCGCAACGGTAGACCGCTCGTCACCTTTTCGACGCGGGACACAAAACAAAAGACATGACGAGTTGGAGCAGGTGGACGGATGCGACGTCTCCTGCGCGCTCCACTAGCTCGTGCTCCGCGAGGACACTCCTGTCTGTGTGGTGCAGAGCGTACGAACTGGTGTGTCGATTGTGAATAGAGTATCAATATCATGTAGCGTCATCGCACTAGTCGCACACAATGTGACTGCAACGGCGTTTTGCTTGAGTTGATCGCTTCTCCTTTGGTTTCGAACTTTGCATGAATGCACCATGCACGACCGGATGCCGGAAATGGACAACAGAAATACCATAGCCGTACCTGCAGGAAGCACTTCGAAACTCCAAGATTCCTGTCAAATGGTTCAAACATCTAAGTCTAAGTCCATCTTCAACGCCGCCTTCGAATCGGACTCACCTATGGGTACACGAATACGAAAGTCGGACATGTACCATATCCATCAAACTTTCGCCCATGTTTGTCTCTGTTTTTTTCTTTAAGTCCACGGCAGTTCAAAATAACTATACATGAGCATAATTCTTCAAGCAACGAAAATATTTAAGTACAACACTAGTTCAAATTTAAATATTACAACCCAAACATTAAGTTTCAAATAAAATAATTAAACTTGAATTCAAGTTATGTTCTAGTTCTTCCCTTTAATCATCCACAGATGCTCGTCTAATCATTCTTAAACTGCTCATGAGTTGCTCGACGCCAAATCTGTTGATTTATCTGGACAAACTCCTCAAACGTTAATTGCAAAAAGAAAAAGAAACTCCTCAAACATTGCCGGACTTTGAATTGCAAGTTGGATACGATCACTCGTGTTCTTAAATTCCAGACCAGGGATCTCAAATTTCAGACCTCCTACAGCTCCTTCACCGTCGTCCTCCACAATCATGTTATACATGATGAAACAACATATCTTTGCAGGTCCTCGAACAACTACAAAACATGCTTGGAGCACTTCAAATGCCTATCCACATCATTTCTACCTCCTTATCAGTGAGCTTTTTCTAACCAACTGGCTTAGAGATAGTCTTGATAAAGGTCGCGCATAGAGGACAAATATCATTAAAATAGCCTATGTTGTAGTCATGACCATTGATAGTATAATTGTATAGGTAAGCTTGTCCTTCAGTCAACCTAACAAACACTGGATACCACTGTGATTGTGAGACCCGGACATGCCAAAGAAAGCGTGCCAAATCTAGAGCTTTGTGATGTAACTGCTTCAAGAATGATGATGGGCTTGTTAACACACTTTGGAAGAGAGTTGCACTTTCACCTTTTCTCTCCATCACCGTCATCTTCCTAGGCGTCATCCAAATCAAGAGAGGAATTGCTCTACTACTTCCTATGATTGGAGGAGCCTCATCATTCCTTGATTTCCACTTCCAACAATGTTGGAGGACAAATGATTTGCCCTTCGACTTGGCCATTTGCCACTACCTCTCTTGCGATATATTACCATACAACATACAAATGCTAAATAAAATAAAATATTCAAAGTGATGCAAATGTGGCAATCAAAATAGTGAGTGCTAACATATTGGTCAATGGTGACACCGCTAGGAGGAGCGTGCTTCACCTGGTCCAAACAACCCGCCGAATGGTTGTACATCACTTCAATCATACCCCATTGGTTTGTGCGAGATTTAAGGGTACAATTCGAGTTATGCCCAAGGCGTTGATGGAAATGCTCCTCGATGTACCCCCAATAGTTTGCACCATTTGATCTCTCAAGAGTGATGCCTTGCCATGCCCTCACAAGAGAAATTTCTACTTCCATGGCGCAGTTTGCGACCCAAATTTCTTCTTCCTTGACAACTAGAGGGCTGGGATTGATCCAATTTGGTATCTTTGCCCTCGACATCTTATTGTTCAAAGTGCCACACCATTGGGCCATCAAGATTGACATCATTAGTCGCAAAAAAATCGCGCATCATACTATCTAGGAATGACTCGTTATCTGCCACCGATACTCCGAAATGCGTGAAATCATCGTTAAACACAAGCATTCTTACACGGTCACATTGCATTCAATCAAACCAATCGAAACAAAAGACAATGGTGGATGTTTTTCATAACCTCATCAGTAAATCTTCGAGTGCGTCCGGCTGGGTAGGCGCCTGAGTTTCGCCCTCCACCGAGATGAAGGATGGAGGAGGCGGATGTGGGGCGCCGCCGTCTTCTACCTATGTTTCTTCGTTGTGGGGCGTTGCGGCGCTTGCGGGGGAGGCCATCGCCCTAAGTTGACGACATCGGTGGTAGTACATACAAGTTAGGCAGTGGTGGCCTGCCCTTGAGGCCCATGGAGGAGCAAGAGGCGCGACAGACAAGGAAGTAGTGAGATCCACCTCCAAACCAAGGGAATGAGATGCAGGGTCGATGCGATGTCCATGGCGTCATCGGCGGGGACCGGGGACGGCCGGAGGCGGCGCTACAATGAGTTGTGGAAATCGTCAGTGATTGGCGACTTGGATGGATCAACCTTTTTTAACGGAAATCGGTATGCGCGTGGTTATTATCAATCCAACACATATGATCACTGTGCTAAAAGTTGCTGTATGTATTTTTTTTTGTAATGAATAGACGAGGCCTTTGTCCTCTATTTTGAAAGGAAAATAGTAGCAAGACCGCACACTGTATTTGTGGCATCCTACTCGGCGTACGGCAATTACACGCCACAGTGGATGTGGCTGCAGGAGGCACGCCGACGGCCGATCCGGGAACTGACTCCATGGATCATCATGTTCATTCACTCGCCGTGATACAAGAGCTACTGTAGCTCAGCTACAGCTTCCACTACCTGCCGATGCGCGCGGAGTTTGAGCAGTGGGCCGTCGGCGCCAGGGTCGACCTCATCGTCGACGGTCACATGCACGCGTACGAGCGCAGCCAGCGGGTGTCCAACGTCGGGAACAAACATTATGGACGGTGAGGGCGGCAACATCGACGGTCTCGCCGACAGCTAAATGAGCCATAATTTTTTGCCTTAGAGTGAGCCGTACTCAGAAACACGCCACCACTTCAATCTTGACCTGGCCTGGCCAACACTCTCGATCTTCTGCAAACCTGCATTCACCGCCCGAAGAGCAGTTGCAACGGCCGCAATGCCCTCTGCTTTTCCAATGGCTTCCCCTGGTTTTGCGTTGAGAGCCTGATGGTCATGTATGTATCTCAATTGCTAATTCAGTTAGTCAGCCAACAGAGAGCACTCATGGAAGACGCTAGATACTAGGCCTCAAGTAATCAGTACTAAAATTTCATCGCTACTCGTCACTCAACAGCTCGATCGCTCGACATTTTTATCTCATCCTTGTTGGTGCTGGGATGTGCAGGAGATCCATGCTGCAACTGAGTAACGAGGCAAGTGCAGACATCTTATTGACGAGGTAAGCGCAGACATCAGTGTGCAGCGATCAGTAACCATGCATCTTGTTAGCTTTACTGCTTTAGCACAAGCGAAAGACAGAAAAACCAGAAACTAAGATTTGAAAAATAATCAGAATCAAAATTAACTTGGGGCTTTTCAAAGACCAGTTTTAAGGTTGTCTATGCAAAGTACTATAGCTTGTGTACTCCCTCCGTCCCATAATATAAGAACATTTTTTACACTAGTGTAGTGTTAAAAAACGTTCTTATATTTTGGGACAGAGGGAATAATAAACTAACCGTTTTTCCGGCCATTTCTCAAACCAAATAATGCCGCATTAATCACATGGTTTTCTGGATACACAGGAACATGTGGAAAACATGAATGAATGGTTGAGGTTTCATATATACCCATGGTAACAACACTCAAGGAATTAAACACCAGAGAAATGATCGAAAAAGAAGTACAACATATAGCAGAGGAAATGATGAAAGTTACAGTAGAGGCCGTCCAGAGACAGATTACTCAGTGCACGTGGTCCGTTCATGTTTCACTCATTTGCGGGAGTAACAGTTAATATCCAAGGAAGGAGGGCTTGGGTGCATCTGCAGGGCGTTCCTAAACGCAGACTGGATGTCGAGCTTCACTTGTTCAACAGATTCCTTGTGGTTGCCGCATGCAGTAAAACTGATTTGCTGGAGGTCTAAGAGGTGCAACATGCCGGCTGGTGTAGGTCCACCCCACAGTGGTTGGTTGACTTGCAGAATGAGGTCTCGTAGCTTGGGCATAGCTCCTGCCTCGAAATCAAGATATGCTAAAACACCCTCGTCAGAGATGAATGTAAGGCGCTCCAGAACTGGGAATAATCCCTTGCTGACGATAACAGCCTCTTCTTTAGGGCATGTCACAACTCTAAGCTTGAGGTAGACGAGGGATGGCAGTCCTCCAAGAATAGTAATCTCATCAGTTTTCGTCCCCCTAACAGATAATTCCAGGCTATGCAGGCAATTGACATCACCGATCTATTTAGGAACCCTCAAGATCTTCCAGCTGATAAGGTACATTTCCTCGATAAGGGCTGGAGGATCTGAAACTGAGCCTAAAATGTCGTCCTTATCATCATGATTGCCTTTGATCTGGAGATATTTGAGGTTGCGTAGCTTACAAATAGAAGAGGCGAAAGCATCAAACTTCGCCTTCTCCAGCAGATTGCACTCATCATCATCCCAGGTATGAAGCTTCAGATTCCTCAGATTAGTCAGCTTACCAAGGCCCTCAAGAGCCTCCAGCGAACTCCTCTCCAATTTGAAACCATCGAGTGTGCGAAGTGATTCCATGATCCCGATCCTTTCAAGTAGCCCTATCCCCTCATACAAACCCATTGTCAGATTAGACAAGCGCGGCAAGTGCTCTATGTCTGACGGGATGCTTCCACATGGTACATCCAACGTATCCAAATGCACAAGCCCCCGAATTTCAGTGGGAAGCATTGCATAGTAATAAATTGAAACCTTTAAATACCTCAGTTGAAACATTTGGCTGATTGCAGTGAGGTCCAGACGTGTCCTAATTAAAGATCGATCTTCAAAAGATAACACACAGATATACTTTAACTGAGAAAGATGAGGTATGGACTTGCAAGCTCCGAACCATACCAATGACCGAACTTGTGATATGCTATCCAAAACTGTCCATGATATTGTTTCATTTGTTGTTCTATCAACACGTGAGATCAGGGATAACCGATGGATCTTGTACGTGCAGTCACGCAGTCTTGTCATGTCTTCAGAAGTATATGCCACACTATTAAAATTGTCTTCTGCACACTTGCTTAGGATCAAATCTAGCATCATATCATGTACTTTGCAGTAAACTCCCTTGTAGGTCATTACACGCTGAATCATGCTTCTATTGACTAGCTCATTGAAATAACTTATCCCAACATCCTCCAAATTTGGTCCATGCAAATTACTGATAAAGCCTTCGGCTATCCATTTTCGGACTAGATCATCCCTCTCAATCACATAGTCCTCTGGATACATAGCAAGGTAAAGGAAGCAAGTGCGGAGATGAAGAGGAAGATTCATATAGCTGAGGTTTAATATACTCCTCATCCCTTTCAGTGTGGGGTTTATGGCAAACTGGGCACCTAGAGAATTCTGTATGTTCTCCCAATCATTCCTTGATCTTTCTCGACGGGAAGCCAATAGGCTAGCTATAGTAATGATTGCAAGTGGCAATCCGCCACACTTCTTCAGAATTTCATTTGAAACTTCCTCAAAATTAGCTGGACATTTGTTCTCAGACCCAAATACTCTGCTCGTGAATAACTTTCTCGAATCTTCAGAGCTGAGGAGCTTCATTTTGTAGATGTGCTCATAGTGATAAGAACATGCTGAGATTGCAACGGCTTCCACTCGTGTGGTTACTATTACTCTACTCCCATTACCATCTTCTGGAAAGGCACATCTTATAATGTCCCATGCTTCTTCATCCCACAAGTCATCGACTATAATAAAATACCTGTTGAATATGGTGTTATAAATTGCATTAGGAGGCAACTAAAAATATTGCAAGTTAAAGCATCAATAAAATCAAATAACCTTGGGGAAAACACGCCACGCAAATGCCATTAGTATGGATAAGTTAGACATATTTGTGTAATATTCAAGCCAAAATAACAGCGACAGCTTGCGTGGCGTGTTAAAATTTGACTTTGAAAATAGCAGGTTTTACATTTATTTTGTTCATCAAAACAGATCATTGCCAATTTTCCATAACAATTGTTTTGCTGCTGTGTGTTGACACATCTATTACTGAGAGCGGTCAATATGGTATACATTGTATTTCTTTATTTGCAGATCACTGGCATATTCCTAATTTGACACCGCATGAAATACTCCGTATATAAACATTTGCAGATATCAACTCCGCATATTTGTCCAATGTTACATACAAGCGACCTACTTCATCAAATTGACAACTTTGTTTATAAATGACCCATCTGTTGGCTCATGATCGCACTTCTCCCTTGGTTTCTCTGTATGTCAGGTGCATTTTGACTTCTCAAATTCTTTGATAGAGAATTAATCTAATATTATGTGAGTAATTTTACAACCAATTGATACTGTTGGATCAGTGTTGAAACAAACTTTCCAATTCTGATGATTTTATAATGATTTGTCATATGTGAACAGCCAAAATACGTTTGGAAACATGGGGTGTATACTTAAATCAAGCTAAACAATTATTCATAACTAAGAAGTAAAGATGTAACTATACCTCTTGTTTACAAGGTGTTCTCTAAGTTAACCAATGATGTCTTGCACCTGACAAATACCAGATGACACATTTATCCCAAGCTTTAGTCTCAGGCTATTGAGAAGCCGTGTCATGTCTGGTTTCTGAGAGACAGAAATAAATGCCTTACAGTCAAAGTGCCCTTTGGGATCATTATACACCTGATTAGCAAGCGTAGTTTTACCCAGTCCTCGGAATCCCACGATGGACACCACCTTGAGCTTCTTCTCAGTGTTTGTCAACAAACTATCAACCTCCTTCTTTGGGCCATCAGTACCCACAAGTCCAGCAGCGTCTTCGTAGATCGCTCAAATCCGAGGATCAATATCCACGGAGCCACAACTTGTATTGCAATCATCAATCTTGTACCTGGAATTGATTAGAATGTCAATGGAGGAAGTTACAATTGCATATGTTTCTCACAGAGTGAAGAACAAGTGACCCCGGGAAGAATCGGGGACATAGAAGGTCCTTGCCTCAATGCAGAACTGTTTGATGTGTTTTTGTGCTTCTTCCTTTCAGAAATCTAAGTCTACATGCAATTTATTTATTTTTTTAGTGCAAGTTACACGTCCATGTTGATATTTGGATGTACATGTACATGCATGCACATATTTGACTAGGTTCGCTTGCCGTACCATGCATGCATGCAAGTGTATTTGTTTTGCCAATCACATGGCTGGTATGAGCTAGGCTACTCACGAGTTAATCAGGTAGATGTTAAGACTTGGTGCAGTTCACGTCCCAGAAGACGTCTCGGTCGGATCGTATGCGTATCTGAATACCCATGTACCGGCCGGCAAGCACGCATACATACCCGAATACCCGTATAATCTGTATAAAATAAATTACAAATGGGTGAGCTTTGGAGACGGCCAGAGAGTCACATTTTCGGCAGTCGAATCGGCCCACCTACAGCCAGCCATGTACGTGTGTTATTTGGTTCGGTCTTGTTTTGTTTTTGGCAGAAGTGTGCGCCAAGAAAAATAATGAAAGGATAAGCAACAAAGATAGATCGATTGGTTGCATTCCATATCCCGTCCGAGAAAATCTACAACAGCCGAACGGCCGTGGCCTTGGCTGCGCATCGCCAGCTCCCACCCCGCTGCCTATATAAAGAGGCACCATTCGTAGGGGGGAACGCAGGAGGAGAGGAGATACACGGAGGATGGAGAGACATCCAGGAGGAGACGCGCCCCTGCGGCAGCGTCGATGAGAGTTGGCATCTTGCCGGAGGAGATGTACAGGTGCTGCAGCAGCGCTGAGGCCGATCAGATCAGATGAGGAGAAGCGGCGGCGTCAGGAATGACGACTCAGAAACTGCCCAATCTTGGCCGGCGCGTCGGCAGTGGCCACGACGCCCTCATCAACCTCTTCCTCCTAGTACATGTGTTTTCTTTGTCATTGTTTTTCCAGGGTTCAGGGAGGGGTGGAGCTCACGTACGCAGGACGCGGCAGTGGGAAGGAGGTACACACGAAGAGAAGACGCGCCCGACGGCGGCAGCGTCGACATGCAAATGAGCGATGTGCCTTGAGGGGTCGAAGGGCAACCATGACGCAGCACGCTTGTCGGGCAGCCCACGCGATCTGGTCCTTTCCGGCGGCGGCACGTGCAGCAAGGAGATCACGGAGGCCAAAGGAGTGATGCGCTCGCCGCTATGGTGGCAACACACGTCAAGACGCGAGGCCGTGGCCACCGCCGGCGCCCTCGCACACACACACGTACCCTTGCCTGTCCGGCCGGTAGCTGCACCGGTGACAAGGAGGACGGGCAGCAAGTGGAACATGCTGGTGGCGACCGACCTGCGGATGAGCGTGTGTCAAGATACAACATGGAGTACCATCTCTCAGGTTAACTAACAATAAATATATTCATCTCTCTTGTGTATCAGGCGAAGAAACACATACACGTACAAGGGTCCAGGAGCAGCACCTGGGCATGGAGGTTTGCAGCAGCTCCTCCTGCGTGCCTCGTCTGGGTAGCAGGCAGGAACCCAAGGAGGCACCCTCGAGAGTACTTGAAGATGGTGGCATACATCCATCCATCAGGCCTCGCACTAGGAGGCACAGGGAGGGATCCAGAAGGAACGCCCCAGAAATTGTGGCAGCGATGGCAATCTGAGGAGGAAGAGATGCCGGCCACGGCGGCGGTCTACCCATGGCAGGCGTCTGAGGAGATGAACAAACGGGAGAAGACCAAGCCTCGCTGACTAATTCTATTTGTTACTATGCCTTTCATCTATCAGATGCTACACACGAAGAACAGCTGGAAGGCGGAGGAGTCCGGCACGCGCAAACATCAGCAGAGAAGACAAGGTGGAGACGCGCCCCTGGTGGCAGCGACGAGGAGATCGGAGGGCCCGCCGGAGATGGAGCCACCCGGTGGCCGTGGAGGACGATGACATGAAGGTCGACGGCACCAAGGTCTCCATCACCCCTCGCGTCCACTTCGTTACCGCGGCGCTGTAGAAGACGACATGGAGCGACGCCACACCGCCGCCCACCGTTGATGTCGTCAAGCTGGCGCCATGGAGGTCGACGGCACCGAGGTCGCCAACGCCGTTTACATCCACTTCATCAAAGATGGTGCCGCGGAAGACGACGACATGGAACACGCCACGATGCTGCCCACCATTGATGTCGTCAAGCCGGCGCCATGGAGGATGGCGACACGGAGCTCGACATCATGCAGCCCGTCGTCTACCTTGTTAGACCGAAGAGATGTCGTTCGAGATGGAGACCTATGATTCGTCGTCACGCCCTTCGCCCACTTCATCGATACATAGAGGACGAAGCAGCGGAGCCTGCCTGGATGCCGCCCGCCGACGACTTCGTCAAGCAGGCGTCGGCAACGACACCGACACGGAGCTCGACATCATGCAGCCCATCGTCTACTTCGTCACACAGGGATGCCGTTCAAGATGGCAACCCAGAGCCCGCCATCACACACCGTTCATTAACTTCATCAAGTAGGCGCCATGAAAGGTGACGACACGAAGCTCAATATCACGCAGCCCGTCCTCTACTTCGTCGCACTAGGGGGCACGCACGCGTAGACGCCACAAGGCCACCGCCCTTCACAACGCACACATCCATCCATCAGGAGATCCATCCATTCACCACGCAGGTCCTAAGAGAAGACTCGCCAGCGCCACATCCATTCGTCACCGGTGCTACATCCATCCAACAACGCAGCCCAACCGCTAGCCCCGGCGCCCTACCATGGCGGCCTTCATGGCGCTCGGTGAACACTTCATGGCGTACAGGTCACGATGCACATATGGCGACCAACAGGGCCACGGTGAACAGCTTCATGGCAAAGGGTACACCGGCATACATGTTTTGCATCGCGCTCTTGGAGGAGACGAAGTGGCAGAACCGGAGCTCGCTGACGACGCAGCCCGAAACTCGCCTTTCCCTTCACGGCGTACAGGTCCTTGGTGGAACCAATGTCCGCAAGGACGGGTCTAAGACCGATTCTTCCTTCACGAGGCACGCGTCCCCGACGAACAGGTTAATGGCGTACAGATCCTTCATCGAGCTGGAATTTGCAACGGCGCTGTCCAAGGCCGGTCCCTCCTACGAGAGGTGCACCCACTGTGGCGGACAGAGCAGCGACGTACAGGTCCATGGCGTCGCCAGCGTACAGGTCACCCCTGGCGTAGCACCAGCCCAACGCGAGGTGGCCTCTACAACGCTACCATTGCATGGCCTCGTGAGGCGGCCCCCTTTGTCTTGGCGGACCGCCGAATACTCGGCGTCTAGCCGAGATGAGGTGCCAACCACCCCGGCCACGCCCATGTGAGCGCACGTTAGTTTTTACACTGACGCCGGTCTTCCCAAACCGTTACACCCGCAAGGCGTAGCCCCTTGAACACCCCGATGAAGCAACATGTCGTCAAGAAGTCTAAGCCGAGCGTGACCCATGCTACCCCAACACCAACTACTCCAACGCCGCCAAGACCGACGAGGCACGACTGCGAGGGCGGGCGCGGCCACCGCTAAGGCCACGCCACTTGCGGCGCGTGTACCGACGAGGACACGGGCTCTGCCGCTGCCCACACACATCACCATCATCATGCATGGAGGACGCGAAGAGAAGACGACGAAGACGACCACACAGCTTAATCGGAGGTATCCCGCGGAGCAACCCGCGGGTGTAATTAACCGGGAGCCTTCCGAAGCCCCGGGAACCAGTAGACCACAATCGCCACAGTCAAGCAGGCCGCGCAAGTAGGCCACGGAGCGCATATGTAGAGGGATCTTGTAATTTTGTTTCTCCAATGAGAGATTAATTAATAAAATGCATGTTTCCCTTTGTTTATTTGTGTACTTAGTACACTGGCACGCCCGCAATTTTTTATTTCCCCTGACGCGTAGAGAGATAGTAACACGATAACCATCGTTTGTTTGTTATTATTTTTCGTGTCAAACAAGAACAATAACAGTGGAAGCACATGCATCGGTCCCAAACCCCCTGTACCAGATTTTTGACATCTAGACTTGAAGAGCTGAAGGGATTTTGAAGGATGAAAAGAGAACGGGGGATATTGTTGGAATGATGAACAGGGGTCCATGGACAAGCAGCGGCAATCCTCCACCAAAACTGCTGCTCATGGGGGAGCGGGCACATGACCACGGATCCGAAGTGATGCCTGCAATAGCCCAGCGCAGGGCATCGGATCTGCCCTCCGAGACCTCCATCCCAGCCGCCATGGACATGAGAGGAGGAGGAGGAAGAAAGCCAGATCTGGTTTATTTGGGGAGGGTAGAAATCCTGAAGCCACCAGGGACGCAACAACCAAACCTACTACTACTAAACTAACGAAGAGGAGCAAACGGACCCCCTCTCTCACCTCCCCGGCCGGCGAGGTCGCCGGATCTGAGAGAGAGAAGGGTCAGAAAAGGAAACACGGGGGTAAGTGCCAGAATCTTGTGGTACCTTAATCGGCGTTCATTTGCCTCTACCGCAAGAGCCTTGAGGTCCTCGATCCGGCCGGCAATCCGGTGACGCACCCGCAGCGTCTTGAGGCGCCGAGACATCCTCTTCATGAAGCCTGCACCGGCGTTGGCGTCGGCACCTCCGATGTCCTGCATGAAGTCATCGATGCAATTCTCCATGTCGTAGGACATCTCCCTGACATGGTCCCTCCAGTCCTTGGTACCTGGCTCGAGCTTCTCCATGAGCTCCAGCTTCTCAAGGGCGGCGTTCATGGCGCTGAGCTCGTCCCTGAGAAAAGCCACCCCCTTCCTCACCCCTTTGAGCTTCTTGTACTCCTCTCCCATCAGCGCGGTGAGCTTGCCGATGAGGGGGTTCATCACCCCCGTCGCCGCGCTCGTCGCCATCTCCTTCCTCTGTGGGTTCACTCGCGAGCTAGCTGCGTTTGTGTGCAGTGTGCGCGTGACAAGCAGTGAAGGCTGGTGAAGAGAGCTGCCTAACTCGATGGTGACATCTACCAGTATATACTAGTACTGCATTGGAAATTATTTACGCTGCACCGGGGGAGCATTTGAGCTGGAAATTACAGTTCTACGCTGCTGTAATCCTTGATTCGACAATCAGCAGCACTGCTCGAGTGTCACGCCTGCAACAGCAGTACAGTGGAGCAAGGAGATGGGCCTGGGTGGCTGTGGGTCTGTGATCTGGCAGTGAGTGACTGAAACCTGTAATCCACAGCTAATGTGATACAGTATGATCTGAAACTTTCCCATCTCCTTCTACAGGCACGCGAGTGTCACTATACCCTGTTTATCATCCGTCGGCACCGTTAATGATTGTGGTCCGCTCTGAATAGTATCTGCCACTGATGTTGGCCGTCTCTGGCCATAGCTTTTGCCTTTATGCTCTTTCAACTACAGTGTGGTTTTGCCTGCGTGGCCCACTTGATGCGCGCATTCCACTTCTTCATCATGAGAGTGCAAACTTCCACGAACAAAGTAGGCGACCTCCTACAAAGCAGATTCCCAAAATGCAAACCTAGTAGGACCATATCATGACCAGTACACCTGATAAGTACTTCCACTCACCCTTGGCTCAAATCCATTTTTACTCTGTCTAGCTAGGCCACTACGACGTGCCCCAGCTGGCAAGAAAGATCGTCGAGTACAACGAGGCTTCACACCCAACACCTGCATCAACCTAAATGGAATCCTTGTGTGTACCATACTCAAAAGCTCTGCTACAGGCTACAGAATTCCACCGGTGGATAGATCGCACTGAATCATCCATCTTTTTGTTGATCGTGATGTACCCAAGGTGGGGAATGCGGTGACCGACAACTACTGCGACAACGTCGGCACGGTGACCTACTGGTGGACGCACGCCATGATCTCCAACCACACCTACCGGACCATCCTCAAACTCTGCAACTTCACGAGCGCAAATGATTTGAATGCCTTCAACCGCACCATGAGCTATGCCATGAACCACGAGTTCGGGAACATCGACAGTACAACATCTGCACCCCCTCCTGCCATGCCGCCTCCGACTCGTCATTGTCGTCCCTCCGGCAACACTACCGCACCCCGCAGGCACCGCCGTGCAGTGCTCAGGTTCAAGGACACTCATATGCCGGAGGTCCAACAGCTACAACCGGCTCGACGTGCAGAGGGCCATGCACGCCAACATCACAAGGGTTCCGGCTCTTCAGATGGACCTGCTGCAGGTGCAGGTTCAGTTTCAGACAAACTTTCTTCTTCGTTCCTGTCATGGCTGGGGCATTGAAGATTAATTAACAAGCAGGGGATGTTTTGACATTGACAATGATGTGCTCATCAAGACATGGAACGACTTTGAGTTGTCGATGCTGCCGACGTACAGCATGCTGATCAAGGCTGGGATCAAGATATAGGTGCTCAGGTAAGCTGAAGAGTCTGAAACCGGGAAAGTTCTTTTTCCAATGCAGACATGCAGCACACAATGTTTTCAGTTGGTGTAACATGCTTTCACTGTTGAGTGCAGAGGCGACACGGATTCGGTGACCGCGACGAGGTTTTCGCTCAACCACCTCGGTCGGAAGTCTAAGATTCGCTGGTACCCATCGTACTCAGCCGGTCAGGTACTCATGACGGCGTTGCTGTTCTTCACTTGCAGTCTATACAACAATTTTGTTTTCCGCGACAGGGTAACATCTTTGCATTTGCAGGTAGGAGGATGGTCTGAGGTGTATGAAGTGCTGACATTTGCGTCGGTGAGGGGTGCAGGGCATGAGGTGCCATTTTTTCTAGAAGGGCATGAGGTGCCGTTGTTGCAGCCAAGTAGAGCGTTCTTGCCTGCCATAGACTGCTGATGTGCAGCGTGATGCCTAGCTAAAAGGGTCTGAAAACAATGTGAGATGGATGGAGGAGTGATTGATTTGGTTCTGGGGAAAAGGATGAGAAGAAAATAAGGGTGCTTATGCCATGGCAACCATGGGCATTACAGCAACGAGCAAATAAACTTGAATGCTCTATTCTCGATGTTGTCTGATCAGTTATCACTATGAAATTTCCGTATCAAGAATAATGTATATCCCGTGCCAAAAAAGGAGCGAGGGACAAAAAGGATGAACATTACCAATATCCTCTTGTTATCAGGCCAAGCACAGCGTATCTTCTTCTTCGGCTTCGAGTCAGTGGCAGAAGCTGCTGGGACTTCGTTCACAATGGAGCACACAGGTGTCTGCACGGGCATCGGGGCTTCAGTAAACAGTGTGAGATATATGATCTGCAAAACGAGGGTGGGGGAAAGGGAATTCACATCAGTCTCCGTTGATCAGGAGTGGAGTATATCTGTACATTACTTTTTTTCTTTCGATAAAGGGCGTTTTATTAACTCAAAAATGTAGCATCAAGTGGATACAAAGCATTATGAATGACACCCGGCCTCTGCATAACTAAGACGCACACAGCCAATTCTAAAAAGTTTGACAGAAAGAAAAGAATCAAAATCGACAAAACGGCAACAGTAGAGTCCTATAGACCGACACTATATATGCCTATGTCGAAAGTGGTGATGGGTCAATCCGGAGGTTATGCTGCCACCCATGTTGGGAAAAAACCTTCGTAGCCACCTGCTCCAATCGCGTACACACCGCCTTGAACAGCGGTTGGTATTCCGCTTGCAGGATGCGTACACCGGAAAATAACCTGTAGAGGAGAAGCATTTTTGTCATTAAAAACCAAATCATTTCTACATAGCCATAGCGACCACATTAAGGCATACGCTCCCACCCTTATTAGCGTTTTGAACATATTTGAAATACCGTCCAACCAATGACCAAAAATATTGGCAACACTTGTGGGCGGATACAAATTTGACGCTATTTGGATGACTGACCACGTAGAACGTGCAAACTTGCATTGAAAAAAGAGGTGTTTGATTGTCTCGTCATGAGTACAAAAACAACACTTCTTACTCCCTTGCCAGTTGCGCCGTGCGAGGTTGTCTTTGGTTAGCACAACCCCATACGAAGATACCACATGAAGATTTTGACCTTTAGTGGAATCTTCGACTTCCATAGTTCCTTATTATTATTCACCGGTATCTCAGAATGCGTGAGTGCACGGTACATGGAGTCTACTGTGAAAGATCCCGATGTAGTAAGGTTTCAGCGAAACACATCTCGGGCTTGTGTCAGGTTAATCGAATCCAGCTTGGACAATAGATTATGCCATGACGTAAGGCGAGGCCCAATCAAATCCCACTTGAACGAAATATTCGGCGGGGATGAACTGAGCATCTGCGCAATCTGTGCATTACTTACAACGGAATAACCAAAAATTATGCTGTTCTTCGATTACAACACAGTGGATAAAAGGACAAGCGGACATTGGAACATTACAGTATTATATCTGAACTTACTGGGGAGCAAAAACCGATCGTTTTCCCGCAAAAAAAAGAAAACGAGATCAATTTCGTGCAGCAATAGGAATTGCGCGAGATGGAACTGCAAGTGTGCAACCACCAGATTAAATCAATGTCAGTTCAAGTATGACACAGCAGTCGGTCATCTGAATTTCTTTTCGGAAACTGCCCGCCTCTGAAGGCCTGAATCATGGAGAAAATATTGCTCCGCTGCTCATTCGAGCAAAGATAACCACGAAAGCCGAGTGATTTTTTAATAAGAAAATAAACGGGCGTAACAGTAGATCAACCGCGGATTCACGCCGCTCTTACAGAGCCCACACAAGTACGCCCGGCCCAACCGCGGCGACTAAACAGAGATGTGTGCGAGAATCCAAGCCGGAGAAGAGAGGAGAGATTCCTTGCCTGGACGGAACAGAGGAAGTAGACTGGGGAAGTGGGGAACACCGCCGCCGCTGCCGTCTTGGTGTGTACGCCGCCGCTGCCGTCTTGTGTGTGCGCCGCGGTCGCTATCCTATTTCTATGCGTCGAGGCTGCCGCGCGGTGGCCGTCCGCGTGTCTCGCTCTTCTTCTTGGGGCTTAGGACATCTCCAGCCGTTGATCCTTCAGGAGAGGCAAAAAATCGTCTCCTGGAGGCGCACCGGCGCTAAACCGTGCACTGAGGCGTGATGCCCCCCAGTCGCGGCGCCCACGTTTTTTTTAAAAAGTCAAATACGGCGCAAACACGACTTTAGTTTAACGCAAACATCAGCGAGTTCGTTCAAATTTAAACATAATTTACAAAAAAAGAAAAAAACTACCGCGAGCTACCCCCGCCGTCTTCCTCGCCGCCCGCCTCGCTGCCCGCCCACGCAGTTCTACATGCCGAGGAGGCGGTAGAACCGCGTGTAGTCACCGCCGTCGTCGTCATCGTGGTCGCCCCCGCCGACGCCTCCGCCGTCCCTGCTGCATCCCTCCCCCGGTTGGCGCGGCGGGTTGGACGGTCCGGGGGCGTCGTCGTCGTCGCTGTCGAGGACCACGACGCCGTGCTCGTCCTCGCGCCCACGCTTGCGGGCGGCGATCTCTTCCAGGGCCCGGCGCTGCCGGACCATCTCGTCGCGGAGGTAGTTGTCCCACGCCCACCGCAGGGCGTCCTCGTCGGAGAAGCCACGCCGGGCTACCTCCTCGTACTCCGCGGGGAGGCCGGGCTCCGGCTTGGGCTCGACGAGGACGAAGCGGCCGGTGGGGGAGGCGTTGTCGCCGATGCGAACGCCGGAGCTGCGGGTGCGCGCGCTGACAGGCGCGCCCTGGGGCTCCGGCTTGACAGGGCGGAGGTGGAGGCAGGGGGAGCCGCCGGACGAGGAGGAGGACCCCCCGGTCTCCATGCGCCTTGGGGTCCAGGAGTTTCCCCAGCGGCGTGTGAAGGACGGGGGAGCGGGGTACTCGAGGCGCGGCGTGTTGCCGCCCTCGATGTACTCGAAGACGGCCTCCAACGTGCGCCCGGACACGCCCCACCACCGAC